TTGATGTATGTACTTTATTTATATTCGTATGCATGTAGTAAAACAGTTATTTCAATATTACAAACAGACACTCCAATTTTATTTTTATGTATAGATTGATCGCTTAGAAGTCTTTATTATTAAAAAAAAACGAATTAACTATAGACATAATAAATATGCTACAAGACAGTATAAATTATTACTTACATCGTAAACATTATCAACAGATACATAGAAAACAGATTAAACAATTAATTACAGTAATTACTCACTACTCTGTGCGGCCGCCATACTAAATGTACTATATCAATCGCGTAGGTCACAACAAATTCACCACACCACAAAGGCAGTTCCGTTTCGTTTTAAAACTGTGTCATATCTAATGTGACCACACGTCCCGTTGTGAACGGGACAGTCCCTTTTTATAAACACTAGTCTCGGGGTCCCCGAAATGAACTTTGGAATGGAAATTTTGAGTAGACGAGCCGGTTGTTGGTTGTTAGTAATTAAGGTGAGTATAAAAAAACATGCCAAGAGTGTCATTATTATTTAAAATCTTCTTAAAAAAGCAAATTAGTTCTTCCGATAAATATATAAATATAACTAAACATTTTATTTTTATCGGATAAATATCAACAAACAGTAAACAAAATGTTTAATTATATTTATATGGGTATATTTTTTAATTTGTAACATTTAAACTAACTGTTTCTGAATACATAATTTAATAAAAGAGTACTTTTCATTGATTATCTGTTCTTTGACCTAAATAAACCGTTGTCCTATTTTGGTTCGTAATAAATGGTCACGTTAGTCATATCCGATATACGCGCCTGATTCATCTTATTCCATTGCATAATATATCACAGTGCGCGTCATACGAAGATCTGTGGCAAGATCCGCTGTGTTTTTACGTGTGAGTATTTAAAACAAAAAGGTTTAATCTTTATTCTAATAAATTTAATATAGGTTCGATTCCCCTGCACGGTACAAACATGAGTATGATTGTTTGTAACGGTTAAAATGATCTATGTTTTTATAACAGTTATCTAGTACGCACAAACGGTTAAAATTTGACAATTGATATCCCCATACCCATAATAATATAATAATATTTTATACTCGTACCCATAACAGAAGCTATGCTGAATTTAGGACTAGATGGCGCTGTGTTAATTGTTCAGGGATATTATTATTATATTAATTATATAACTATATAAAAAATTGGTGAAAACCTACATTAAACCGCCATGCCTGCGTTGATCAATTGGAATGGGTAATGAAAGCTTATTTATTTATTCCTAACAATAATTATTGTGTCGAATTTAAAAGTACAAAATTATAATCTAAATTAAGAACAATAATAATTATTCTTATTATTATTATTATAAGAAGCCTCCTCTTGATGATAATAATAACAATAATGATGGAGAATAAAATATAATAATAATAATAATAAAATATAATAAATAAGAAAATTTCTTTCTTCATCACATAACTCATCCATGTTTGGCTAAGACCCTCGTGTTTGAATATATTACCCCCGTAAAAAGGGAGATATAAAATATATATATATATATATAATAATAATACCAATAATAATTTCCGAATTGATCCACAGTAATGGTGATTCAAAACTGACGGTAAATCTAATAGTAAGTCGTAATCGTATAGTTACAAACAGAATCGTCATTATAACCGTGGTACCTTCAAGCAGTGTCATTTTTTAGAACTACAGCCATGCTTCGGTATCCTGGTACTACCATATCTCAACATTGAAATAGAATCACAGATTACAATACAAACTGTAGGCGTGATAAAATGTCATTTATGGTTTTCTACGGTATTTTGTCTATGATTAAAATAACAGAACATTACAAAAGGCCGAAATAATTCACAGATAAAGCACAAAATAATTTTTATTTCAATACACAAATGAGAATTTGTTTGTCAACTTTATAATCCGGAACCAGCCTTGTCCACGCTGTTCTATGGATCGATTTTCCACTAATCTAACATTGGCAGCTTATAATTTGTACGACAACGCCATATTTAATTCCGACCATAGACAAATTCAATACTTTATATCGATGTGGCTAAGGAAAAAGAAACTGCATTTAAATTTATTTTTAGATTCAACGTTTTGAAATGTTTGCTTGAGTTTTATTTGATTAAATATAATTGTGAAATGAACCAGATACAGAAAATCAAATCTTTAATCGGTTTCTCCGCTTACAATCATTGTCTAGACTGAATTGATTATTTTTATTCAAACGCAGGTCATGTCAGGTGTTTGAACTATTTGTAGATATCTCGAAAAATATAATAGCACGGCTCATTTTTGTTCCTGAGATGTAAGAACCGACTAATGAAAATTAATCTAATTGCTTCGGTATAAAAGAAGAAAAATCTAGGATAATTGTTCTAACCAGCTTGGAAGATATTAGAGCACAGCTGTATTAATATCCTTCTCTTCTGAGACGAGACTTACTTCCGGTAGTATCTGGATGAGTGTTTGATATATCAGAAGAAAAAGATGAAGCTTTTAAAAAAACAGCTGAATTTGCCAGTTTTTCTCAATTATATACTGAACTGGACGGTAGGGAAAAATATTAATACAAAAAATTGATGTTCATAAGCGGGTAAAATGTCCTATATATATGATTTTGGATTTGATTTGAATGTTAAACACAATAGGATTGTCTGCAGATTGTTCATTTATAACGCCAACAGCCCTTACCATTAAGTAAACTAAACTTATCGCCAATTAAGCTTGGTAATATAAATAGGTCTTTTTTAGATTTTAAAAATCGAAGTCTGAGCAAAAACCCATGGTAACACAATGAGTGCCGACTAGCGATGGACGAAGATAACCCCAGCGCGTTGCAACACTCATTCTAGCGCTTTAAATGGTGTAAAACGATTGTTATAGCCCAATTAGGCACTGTGAGACATATACCTACCACTATTCTTTTCACTAGCCCATGGCACAACTGCCTGCTTTTCTGGCTATTGTGTTCATGGTACGTTAGGAACATTTCAAAACATCAGAGATATCTCGCTTGATTAATGACATTACTATAATATTTCCACTGGCTTTGCAAAAGGGTTTCGGGCGGACGTTGATGAAATTTACTTATTACCGCCATTTTGAAACCATAGACAAAGATCTTTTTATCTAGTTGATTTGCTATAGAGATTCGAAATTCAAAATAGGAATAACGATTGTTCTTTAATTGCAAACATTAACGTAGCGAAATACTTCCTGCGTTTGTATTTTACTATTTGTAATTTGTACTAATTAATTTTGGTACTTCAATTAGTACTTTAACAACATTAACCTGGGTTGGTTAAGGACCTATTTCAGGTCTGAAGGTAGCATGTAGAGGCTATCCGCTGCACGCCTAGATGGAAGGTCCCTTCGATGGGATCCATCCATCCATACAGAGGTCTTGGGCAAATGAGAAAGCGATAGCTTCAGCGATATATTTGAGAACGAATATCCGTCAGGTATTTTTGCTGGCAAAAATCCGGTAGTCCCCAAAAGCCCCTAAATTGGTGGTGCTCAAAGAAAATAAGAACCTATTGTTAATTTATTGCCACCACCATTTGTTCAGTAAAGCAAAATCTGAGTCAGGTAAGCAGTCCGAAACTGGAATTGACTGGGGATAGTCTTAGTTGAAAGTTATCGGCAGTGTCACATATTTCAGCTATCAAGCAGCTCGCTTTGTAAGCTGTGTTTTGATTAAGATTAGTAGTAAAATTACAGGATAAGAATCATGACATCTCACCCGTCCCTTCACGGGCGTTACATAACGCGTTACGATGTCCGTGGATACTGTTCAGGTGACCTAACATTCACATGAGCTTATTTGCCATTTAAAATAAATAAAAAATAGTTTTATAAATTTATTCATATTATTTATATCTATCTAGTACACTGTGTGAATCCTAAAAGATCGAACCAATAATATAAATGTTCTCAAATTGGTATTAAAATATTTTATTTGGCTCACTGACTGTTAAATATCCCACTTTCAATATTATGATTAGTATCAATTTTTTAATTTTAATAATGTAAATAAAACTCCTGGATATCGTTCCGTTGCCTTTATTTCATATTAAAAAAGTAAAATAACTTTGGCGCCAAAATGATTACAAAAAATAAAAAATATTTTTTATTGTAGAGAGATATATATAGATTGAAGAGAATTTTGAGAGCAAATATATATTGTTATAATTATTATTTTAATGTAAAATAATATTGTCAAACTGCATATAATTGTTTGAAGCACGGATTTAAAGACATATAATTATGAGATTGTATTTTTATAGTGACCATACATTTCATTATTTCAAAAAGAAGATACCCTATTAAATACAAATTATTTTAACGTTGCACATATTTGAGAAACAGTAGAATTTTATCTCAATATCAGATGAGATCATATTACATAGTACAATCAAGTTAAATACCAATCCATCTGTAATATTTTGTTGCAATTATTATGCCACAATAGTATAAAAATAATATTAACCTTTGCAACTATTAATTATATAGTTATTACACAAAGAAGTTTTATTTATTTTGTAGTCTTTCCTCATTAGAGAATATTTAGTAATCTAATTAATTTAATTAATTTAATCCCCCATTTTCTAATCGATCTCAAAGCGAAAATTCCATATATGCGTATTTATGCAATATATAATTAACATCCCACAATTACCGGCGTGTATTTTAAACTATTCTCATCTGCTTGAGTATCCTTTCGAAACATCGAGTAGGGGCGAGCCGTACGGAGTAGGGGTGGTAAAACGGAAAGTCGACGGCCGCTCGCGCTACTGCCGCTCGGACTGTCGCCGCGTTAGCCCACTGCCACGTGATTTTTTTTTTAAAAAAAAGCTCATCGTTGTTTATGGTCAATTTTGAATTTGGAAGCCAGTGAGGTGCATGTGCTTTGGATTGATTGGTGATAAGTGCGAGGAGGTATTTGTTTAACTGTGTACAGTGTGTGATGGTACTCAGCCACTCTATTCGTTGAGAGTGCAGCATGAGGGGTACAGTTTGTCAGTTTTTGCTATTGGCGCATGCGGTCTATGCTATCACAGGACCTAGGGTGAGTGTGCTCTGAACTTTATAATTCTTTTAGAACTTACTGAACGTTACAGCTACTTTTTATGAGAATATGTTGATAATATTGGCTGGAAATGTTTAGGCTTTTTATATATATTTTTTATATTGCTTTCCATCTTTCTAACAGAATATGTAAATCTTTGTATTGTCCTATATTGTATTGTACTAGTACCCGCAATTTTTTTTGAGAATAAATATACCTTTTTATTATTCTCATGATATAATATATCTTTATATCACATATCATTAAGGTCCGCAGTTTAATCACAAAAAGGTAATAGTGTGTCACTTATAATATTGATAAAAGTTATTAAAATAGAACGTAAAGAAAAATATCTTAAAAGTAGGAAAAAAAAACTATATTTATATATAAAATATATATATATAATTATCATTACAATTATTCCATATGACTTTGTATAAAGTATTTATATCGCAAAGTAATCTATTAAACATAAATCATAACTACCTTTGCTCCAGGTATATTAGTGAAGACGAAGCATTCTCTCGCCTGGTCTAATTCCACCGTTAGAATATTAACAAAAATACTCCATAATTTTACAGAATGTTTAATTTTTTTCTTTGCTTAATTCTACCATCACAATAGTAACAAAAAATTAATCTGTAATTTTAGGACAAATAAATTTTTTATTTTTTATTATAAGAATTTAATGTCGACCCAGAACTAGGCATTGTAAATGGAATTAAAACTTTCTGTTACTTTTAATTAGTTGCTATTAGATATTTCGTATCGAAATAGTTATTTATTGTATTATTTTCATCTCAAATAAGTACATATTATTTACGCATGTGTGAATAGAATGGTGGCCAGCAAACCACGTCAGGTCGACCTCCAGTCAGCACCCCAAGAAATTACAGTTCCATTCCTAATGAATTCACCAAGCTATATTCTTTTCTACATCTTATCCTCCTCCTATAGCGTATAAATACCGTTAGTACAGATAGCTGCACCATTACATTATCAGATATTTAAAAAAATGGTTACGGTCTATTGGTACTTTAAAATTATAGACATGTGAAAATTTCATTCATAAACTCGTACATACGAGTATAGTAATAATGCACCTTGACGACCTCGCGGTTTAACACACTGCTTTACTTCCGATGGTCGCGGGTTCGATTCCTCGCACGATGCATACATTTGTATTCATGAATATGAATATGATTGTTTGTACTGCTCTGGGTGTTTTCTATGTATGTAATTACAAGAAAAAATATCTAAGTATTTGTATCAGTTGTCTAGTACCCATAACACAAGCTCTGCTTCCCATGGGACTAGATGGCGCTGTGTTAATAATCCAGGGTTATTTATTTATTACCTCGTACTATATTCCAATAATTTCGTACCCGTACTCTTCTCATAGGGTAAGGCAGCAGACGGTAAGGTATATGATCACTACGTTGAATTACATAATAAACACCAAGATTATCCATCTCACAGACTGTTATGTAGGCCGCCGGCAAGATTTGCGGTTATATACCTTACTAGCAATATATCGCGGCGTTGCCCGCAACAATTACATAAAAGTAATCTCTCAGTTAATGCAGAATTTATACTCGTATATTATTAATTCATGAAATAAAAGCTTTGTATACAGAATCTATACTCGTATATACGTGAAGCAAAAACTTTCTATTATTGCTTATTGCGCGGACGGACGAGTACGAAATTTTGCACACTTATAGTTTGCAAATATATAGAGAAGTAAAAAATGTTATTTCTTCTTAATTATGCATAGTTATTACATTATTCAATAAAAAAATCTTATCCACACGAATATGTATTTGACACATACTTTTTTGTTTATTTTTGAAGTTGGTAGTCTAATTGAGAATAAATTAATATTGTTATGTAATTCCTAGTGAATTTGTCACGATGGGCTAACTGACCTGACCTCATGTTCATCTTATCATCCTCCACTGGTGCCCCGCCAGCGTAAACCGTTAGCGCAGGCGGGTGCACCATTCCATTATCATCCATAAAAAAAAAATTGTTATGTTTTTTTATATTATTTATCTTCGTCAACCGAACCTCAAAAGGAAACTTATAATTTAAATTAATTACGGTCTAATTTCGACCATAATTTAAATTATTTATGGTTGAATTTCGACCGACTACTAATATGTAGTAACTCTCTACTAATCATCACATCATACATCATTCAAATCGATCTAATATTATTTACGTGAAAGAGTAATTTGACTAACTGTGTAACGTGACATCGCAAAGAAAATATTATTGTCTATACATATAAATAAAATTGGAGTGTCTGTTTGTAATATTGAAATAGTCGTTTTTACTACATTCATATGAATAAAAACACGATGAAAATATAAACATCAATATAACGTTTTTACAATTTTTGTCTGTCTGTCTGTTTGTTCCGGCTAATCGCTGAAATGGCTGGACCGATTTTGATGAGATTTTTACTGGCATGTAGCTGATGTAATAAGGAGTAACTTAGGCTACTTTTGTTTTAGAAATATTCTTTTATTTTAGAAAGTAAAGTTAATTTCCACGCGGACGGAGTCGCGGGTACTAGTCATTCATAATTTAAGATCTACGCTCTTGTCGGTGGAGCTCTTGCCACTATTCGCGACCTTCCATCATGCTCTTTAAATGTTGATACGACACGACTCCAATTTTGTGTTTAATTTGCTTCATGTAGCTGTGCCCTGGTGTTCCCCTCCCCGCTCTTTCCTTCTATTTTTTCCTCAATAATAATTATAATAGAAAAATAAAGTTATATTCCACGCGAACGAGGTCGCGGGTACAGCTAGTAATTAATAAAAACTTTACTTGTCCCAATATACAAAAATTGAGATTAACATAAAAAAAATTAAGATCTCTTCACCATTTTATTTCCCCTCCGATCGATCCCCCGTCCAAGTCAAACGGGGATCGATATTACGACGGCCTGAGCCGAGGTTCGAACCCCTAGTGGTGCCCTCAGACTAACGTCGTATCCGTCAGGCAGGAGTTGGCCTTCAGCCGCTCCATAACTCCTTCCGCGGGTTTAGAGTGCCATCTGCACTCGCCCCCTAACGTCCGGTGAAGCTGTAAAGGCCAGCTGCGGCCAACAGCATTAGAGTAGTCCGGAAAAAAAAAACATTTTATCACTGAAATGTAGAAGTGTAATTATAATAATGAATGTTACAAAAAAACCATCATAATAAGCTTGCTTTGTTGATAGTTTTCATGGAAACTAATTAGGCGGCACAGCGGAAACCTTTTTGTTTTATATTTACCGATTAAATACACGATTACTACTAATTAAGACATATAGTTTCACCGCACAAATAATTTAATTGTGACATTTGCATAAACCTTGACACTTCTTCCCAGTGTTGTACAACAATCGACAATGGTGTTATAATCAACTGATTTAGTCATAAACCATTCATAGAGAATTCACAGACAATTTTTTTTTTATAATAAAAAATAATTAAGTCTCCTTGGCCTATGGTGTCATTTATTTCTCTTTATACTTGTTTACGACTAGCTGTTCTCTCGACTTTGTTAACTTGATTTTTCTAAAATAAAAGTAGCCAAAGTTATTCCTTATTACATTAGCTACCTGCCAAATAAAGTCCCCTCAAAATCGGTCCAGCCATTTAGCCAGATTAGCCGGAACAAAGCGACCGACAGACAGACAGACAAAAATTGTATAAAATGTTATTTTGGTGTATGTGCGTTATTTATATTCATATGCATGTAATAAAATACGGTTATTTCAATATTACAAACAGACTCTTCAATGTTATTTATATGTATAGATTTACGTCTGAGGGCGCCGCTAGGTGTTCGTACCTCGACTCAGGTCGCCGTAATTTCGATCCGTGTGTGAATTGGACGGGATTGATCGGAGGAGACTGTCCAAATATATACTGTTGATAGTTAATCTGAGTACTCACGGGTGAGACTGAGCAGGAGGTTGAACTAGGAAATTAAAATATATGGTAGTATGACATGTTAGTCTTTCGGATTGGCAAATCATGAAAGAGAAAGACCTGTCTCTTTCTCTCTCGCTCTCATGAGTATTTAATGCACCTATTTAAGTTAATTACCTATTTAGAGAGAAAAAGAGCGCTGTCTCACTATTCTCTCTCTCTCTCTGAGTTGCCATGATCTTATAAGTACCGACTTAACCAATTGAATCGAAGTTGAAAGTTTGTCATTAGAATGACAATTATATGATTAAAACTACGAGGAAATCGTGATCAACGTCTTTACAGAACAATAGCCTGTCAAACAACGCGGTAATAGTAGAAAAAAGAAAATCTTTCACTCTATGATATTTTCATGTTCCTTCACTTAATATTATGGATGTGAAAGTAAATCTGTTTGTTATTACTAGTATTTACATAACCTAATTGTACAACTAAGAACCTAAAATTAAAAAGCTTAAAAAATATATATAATATGATGACTAAAATATATTATTAAAAGGGGGTCCCCTTTTAATAATATATTTTAGTCAGTAGTAATATATATATTTTTTAGGCAACGTTCCGAAGATACTGGCAGCGTTCCTTCTTTGAATAGCTAAAATAATTCTTTGTCCAAGGTAGCTGCCAGCTCTTCGGTCTTCTGTGATGTCGACTAACCTTTTCGTTATTTCTTTGAAAAGTCTTATAGCGCTAGGACCCCACGGACCAAGGGTCTCGACACCGAATGGGACAAATTCATATTCGGAGCCTAGACCCCTGTATTTACATATTTTGGCTTTTTCAGCCGCTTCACATGCCGCACCAGCTCTGTTACTTCTATCTCAATGATTCAACTTGTTTTTATTAAATTAATAATATACTTAAATACCAATCTTTATACAGTATAAAATGAAATCGCTTTCGCTGTCGGTTCACTTAGATCTTAGAAACTACACAATGGATTTTAGCAATATATAGAGTGATTTAAGAGGCAGGTTTATATATGTACAATACATGTACATCCGCGCGAAG